TGTCATCTCATGAATAAGCCCAGAGAAGCCAGCCCTCGGCCAGAGCTAGAAGACTGGGATAAGTCACATGACTAGAACTTCTCTGGGTCTTCGGGAAAAGTAGAACACTAAAGAAAATGGAACAACTGCTTTCTGAAAGTGAAGTGTGTTTCGTGTACATGTCTGAAACACTGAGATTATGACCTTGCCAGGGGTTTGTGGTCGTAAAATTTCCTTCCTGTGAAATCTCAATGCTGAGGGAAGACCTCAGGCATTTGAACCTGGGGTTGAGAGTATTTGAGTAGACACAAAATGAATCAAAACTTTTTATTTAAAAAAACCCTAGAATTTAGTACAGTATGTTTAAAAAGAAAACTAGGTGGTAAGCCTTTTTTGCACAAAAGATTTGGGGCTCCGTGGAAATTTTACTGCCGTGGCTAAGTTTAGGTTTCTATTCATTTTTATTTCATTTGTCTGAGTTGCAAATCAACCTTGCATCAGGGGATGGCCTTTAGTGCGACAGGATTTGTGTCCTCATGTAATGACCATGCAGTTCACCAGATTGGGCTTGCAGGGCCCACCCTCAGAGCTGCATGGAGGTGGGGAGAGGTGACAGACGAGGGCTGGGAACTCTTACATACAACTGCCCATCTAGACTGACAAGAGGCTTCTGCAGGCCGGGTCATGTCAGGAAAGGGCATTCACTCACTTAGGGCAGCATGAGGGGAAGGAGTAAGCAATTCCTACCACTGTGCAACTTCGAAATTTAAAGCACTGTTTGGTGAAAGAATGGAGCCAATTTTCAAGAGAACAAGCTACTGAGACTTGCATTATATTCCAGTGTAGCTATGGTGTTTCTCCAGTTTTTGAGCTGATTCCAAATGAAATTGGGGTAGGAGATGGTAGAAGAAGCAGTATGATCAGCCTACACCACCACACCTTATCCCATCATCCCTGTTCAAGACAAGGAGCCCTTTCTCTGTCATCCAAGCCTATTTGCTTTTCAGGCACTCTTGTGGAATGACAGTAACAAGAAGGAAGGGGGCGGGAAGTTTCATCACGTGTGCTTGCCGGGGGACAGGAACTCTATCCTTCCAAACCACACTGAACTGGATTTAGAAATCTCTCCCAGGGGGTCGCACACAGGTGGGTCACTGCCAGGTGGCCTAGTATAGACTTTACATTCTCCTTTTTGGTTCTCTCTCTTCTTTTTCTCCCTCCCCTGCTACCCCACTATTATGTTTACCCATCAGTCACCTCTCAGTAATTCCTCTCATATGCAATTCGGTTGATCAAACACGACCAGAAAAGTGACACCCTCGTGACCATCAATTTTAGCACACTTATTATTGCCAGGTGCACCATCACTGTTAGCTCCATCTCCCCCGCCCCCACCACCAATAGTCTAGCATATTGCTCTATCTTCCCTCCCTACTCTTTTAGTTTGTAAGGCATTTTGTTATTGGCCATCCCCTTTGATTTTCACAATATAGTTCATGAAGGAAATGGAATAGGAATGATTGTCTCGATTTCACAATTATATAACAGACCCAGGAAGATGATGCAGCTTGGCCACGATGGTGAGCTGTAGTGGCTTGGCCAACGGTACCTGGTAGGTGGTCAAATTCACTGCTATTGAGTCACTTCTCACTCGCAGCAACTGTTCCGCGACTTTCTGAGGTTTAAAGGGGCAAGCCATCGGAAAAGCTCTACAGATGCCGAAGCTTCACCTGTCTCCTGCAGAACAGCAGTGCCTTTGCATGCTGACCTTGCGGCTAGCAGCCCAATGTGTAATCTACTTTACCACCAGGGGGCCTTGCTGGTACATGGTAGATTCTTAATTATTGATTTACCTAGCAAGTGAACGAAAGGAAGTCTGGTGGCACAATGGCTTAGCGTCCAACCGCTTAACAAAAGGTCGCAGGTTCAAATCTACCAGTCACTCCAAGAGAGAAAAGACCTGGCAACGTGCTCCCATAAAGACTACAGGTTAGACAACTTGATGGGGTAGCGCTTCTCTGTCCTGGAGCGTGGTCACAAGTCAGTCCTCATCCTCAATGACTACCCATAGGGCTTCCCCATCATCGGAAGTTATCTGAATATGCAAATGACCTAGTTATCCAAGGGAAAAGACATTTTACATGCTTTAGATTATTTGGGTGTGAAAAGGTAACAGAAATAATAGAGGTGGTGTAATGATTCTCTTTAAAGTACCAAGAACTGGACTGCTGTTTTTACACATCTAAAAAAAAAAAAAACCCAGTGCTTTTATAAATTTTTATAAAAACTATGCTCACGCAAAATAATGATATGCAAGAAAAAAAATAATGGCAGCCTTGGTTAAGTTCAGGGAAATTTAACTAGACTGTGTCAAGCAGAGGGGGGGGGAAAGTACAAATAATATATTATGCTTTTTTGAAGGGGACAAATAATCCAGTCATAGCTATAAAAAGTTATCTGAGTAAATTTTGTATTATTTGCCAAGTAAAATGAGCCTTACATAAAGAACTCAAAAAATGTTGTGTGTGTGTTTTGTTTTTTTTAAAGAGCTAAACAAGGCAGCTTGCAGGTTAGGAGTAAGTGCTGACTTTCATCTAGGCTCTGTGTGGGAAAGGACTACTGACAGCTCATTTAGGAGCCTTTTCATTTAGATGATGTTGGGAGGTATATATACATATTCATTTGACAGAAAAATAGAATTTCAAAGTATAGGCAAGAAAGCAAGCTTTCTGTTAAAAAAGTTAAGGCCTGTGGAAAAAGTACTGAAGGATGGAGATGCACCAAGAAAGGGGAAGTATTAAAAAGAAAACGCTTGGATGTTAGAATAAATGAAGGAGAAACAATCCCCCAATATACATCTTGATAGGTTTTATATCATTATGAGGATGAAGTACAAATATTCTGGACTTGTGCAGAATTAAAAATGATTTCTCTAAGAGAGAACAGCAACAACAGTCCTAACAGATTAGGGGAGATTATGCTAACATTATGGAATTACATAGCGCTATCCTTCCATCTATTCGTCATGGCCTGAGCGAAATGCCCGGGACTTTCATTAATAAAATCTGGGAGAAAACTAGGTAGGCTGGCTAGCTCCTTGAAACAAATGCATAAGTATGTACTTCATTAAAAAATGATTATTGGATGGGGAGACTGATGGCAGTTATTTATAATATTAGAATGATAAATGAAATAAGATAAAGAAAATGTATACCATATATTTACTAAAGGAAGGAAAGAGATAATGGCCCAAATGTTGCAAAACCCAAAAAAAACAAAAACCAACCTCAAAAAACAAAGTGGGCAAGTTCGAAATGTCCTTGTGAGTTTTCAGCATCCAAATCCTCAAGATGTGTGAAAAGGTTTCCTAGCCGGAGGCTGGACCATACCCAGCCCTGGGGGTTCTCCTGGCTCAAGTCTCTGGCTCAACATGATTTCAGCTTTTTGTGCTTCTCCCCCTACTGGCAGCAGTGCACCAACCCATTTAGGACTGGCATGCACTGCCGGCAGGCCAAGAGAAAAGGACAGAATGGTGTGTGTGTAAGCTTTCTTTTGTGATTAAGCAGCACCAAGGCTAAATAGCTGGTGGAAACATTAAACATCAGGGGGAAAAAATCTAACACGGAGACTTTTTCTCTTTTTTTTAGCCAAAGCTCCTACTGTATACGAAATGCATGCATAATATTCTATAACAAGGGGGAAAACGGCTTTCAAAAATTATCCTTCAGAAGGATTTTCTATTATTATTTCAATCATGTCCAGTCTTTTCTTTTCCTTCTAAGTGTTCTGCCTCTAGAAATGGAGAATGGGGGTGGGAGGGGCTATCAGCTGGTGGGGACTTGAGACATAAAGGCTCATACCTATTCATCTCAGCATTAAAAAACTCCAGTCTCACCTCTCTCATCCATTCTCGGATCGTTTTGCCAGCTTCTTGATGCCACACATTGTGAACGGAGTCTGTCAATGCCGCAGCAGCTACCTTACTCTTTACACCTGCTTCTCGTTGGATCATCTGTTTCAAAAAAGAAAAAAAGAAAATATTGGCTACGTGTAGATATATACATATACATATATTTCCCCCCTACTGGCTGCAGCCTGCTTAGTCATAGGTAACAATAATATTATACCAAAAATGAAAACGCAATATGCATCTCTGGTTCAAAGATATTCTTTTCTACATGGAAAACACACCCTATTTTGATCCAGAGATGTGAAAAGGCCTAATATTTTCCTTTAAAAAGATACTACATAAGTCTTAGAACTATGCAGCTCTATTATTTTCCATGTGGTTTGACAATTCAAGGATTAAAGGGATCAAAAAAAAAAAAAAAAGGAGCAATCCCAGAGGGTTTCTATTACAAGATTGTTCCACCACTTCCTATCCAGTGCTTCAGGGAAGTTCGTGCCCAGGCTTCACTGGCAGCGACTTAGGACTGGTTTCTGCTGGTTGTCAGGACAAAGCACACCGATAACGAAAGACATCTCGCTTTGAGTTCGCCCCTTGAACTAGCCTGCTCCTCGCCATGCCTGCGCTCATTTCTTGGTGTTTGTAGTGCACTAAGGGCTTTCTCTTCACCATCACAATCGTTTTGCTTTCTATACATTTATTTATGTCAATAAGTGATTGCCCTTTAATTTCTCTCTCCAGAATGTTGTTTCTATAAAGTTAAGTGATTTATTTAAAAGAAAAACAGACAAGCATTCGCTTGACTTGAACATACTGAGGCTTCACTAGTGGCCCGGAAGGTAAAGACACCGGAAGCTGGTAGTTCTATATCAGAAGAATAGATACGCATTTTAATCTACTGAGTAACACCGGCGACCCAAATGTAAGAAACCGTACTATAAAATTACAGAAAAACACACTAAACAGTATTCTAGAATTTCACAGTAATACAGTAATATCCTACTTCTTTCCATCAGACGGCTTTTCTTTTTCTAAATTAGGCTATCAAAGAAAAAGAGCAATTTCTCTATCATTTGTTATTCCCTTCTACAAATTGTCTTATCAAAAATATAATTTTGTGCCTTACAAAGGCTCATGAAAGCTAATATTATAGATAACATTGCAAGCCATGCGTCTGACACCGAATGATGCCTGTTGGCATTCTGAATTAAACATTGCTCGCTCCTAAATTTCTTTAAATCCTGCATATGTATATCCCTTATCACTGAACTAGTGCTGTCACTGGGGTTGGCATCACCATTGCAGTAACTACGCTGTCACTCCCTCACACAGACCCGCCTTCTGTCCCAGACCATACAGAATTCTGAGTAATGCTTACTTTCAATTTTGGTAATGTTACCATAAATTGCTTAAATGAAATATTTCTTAGATTAACATGAATACTAACAAAATTGCTTTGTAAAATCTTTCTACATTGACATACAATATCATTTGTAACTAAGGGGTAACCTTTTTTAAAATTTTTCTCCTTTTTCTTCAATTACTACTCCATTCTCTAAAAGGCTTTTGATAATGGTTCATAAATACTAATCACCACAGTCTTATAGCTAAAATAGCAGAGAATGTGACAAAATCAGCACCTAGAAAAGCACCACCAACAATGACAACAGAAATGTGCACTTGTAGAGTGTGCATGTGCACACAGATGGAATCGCATGCTTCAGAGCCCCCTGTGACCGCACACGAATGACAGCCCTGCCAGGAGTCCATCAGAAGGCTCAAAAGGTCACTCAGCATTGAGTTGTGCTATAACTAACCACAGGGGTATTATTATTATTTTTGGGGTAGGAAATAATACATTTTTGCTGAAACAGTATACAAAACTTTGATAGACAGTCATTTTGGGACGCACTCTGATAGAGTAACCTGATGTGGTGTGTGCCTCCCGCACTCCGGGTGGCACTGCATTCAACACTAGGTACCTAGGGGGAATCTGTTTCACTGCGGAAATTACCACAGCAGCTTTTCTGCAACTGAAATCTTTGTGCCCTTTGTTTTCGGCTTATAAAATGCTGAAATCTTAAAATCAATTTTAGTTATTGACATTATATTACTGCAGAAGTTTACCTTGTAATATCAACAATATCTTCAAATGCAAAAAAGAAATGGTCTAATTCAATATTTCACCTTGATTATCAAGTAGTATGTTACCTTCTTCTACATTTTATTTAAAAAAAAGATTCTTATTGGGTCATATTGTCACTAGAATATAAACATTTAAGCCAACACTAAATAATATTTCCTCAACAATGAATCTGTCTGGGTTATGAATCATTTCTCTGTTCTCACTCTCATTTTCTTAATAGCAACATGTTTCAAGATCTAGAACAGTGGTTCTCAACCTTCTTGATGCCACGACCCATTGATTCAGTTCCTCATGTTGTGGTGACCCCCAACCATAAAATTATTTTTGTTGCTACTTCATAACTGTAATTGTTACAGTTATGAATCATAATGTAAATATGATATGTAGGATGTATTCTCATTGTTACAAACTGAACATAATTAAAGCATAATGATTAATCACAAAACAATATATAATTACATATTGTGAAATAGTTATTTCTAATTACAAATAAATGAAATTTTGTCTTGAAGCATGGGGTAGCATGCATAACAATTTTCACTCCTGGTACTCGTATGTGGGTGTATCTGCATGTGGGCGGACCCGCCTAGAGACGGATAGAGGAGTGGTGTTTTGGTTCCCAAGGCCATCGGAAATATGTGTTTTCCATTGGTGTTAGGCGACCCCTGAAAGAGTTGTTCCATCCTCAATGGGGTCGCAACCCACAGGTTGAGGACCGCTGCTCTAGAGCAACAGTTGCTGATGTTACAAATTAAGCACATGGTTTTCCCCTGTCCCCCCATTTTTTCTAAGAATATTTCTGCATTTTAAAATATTTGCCTTGCATTTATAGAGGTCTAAATACAGGCATGTAATATGTAAATGTATTTCTATGTGACAATGGGGAAATAGATCTATGTACAGATATTTATAGGTTTAGTATTAAGGTAGCAGATGGACATTGGGTCCCTACTCAAGTACTCCCTAAATGCAAGAACACTTTGTTCTATTAACCTGGCATTCCATGATGCTCACCTTCCTGACACGATTGTTGAAGACAAAGCGGGTGCATAAGAACATGAGGTGAAGAAAGCTGATGGTGCCCGGCTATCAAAAGATATAGCATCTGGGGTCTTGAAGGTTTGAAGATAAACAAGCGACAATCTAGCTGAGAAGCATCAAAGCACACATGGAAGAAGCACACCAGCCTGTGTGATCACGAGGTGTCGATAGGATCAGGCACCAGGCATCAAAGAATAAAAAACTTTGTCATTGTGAATGAGGGGGAGGGTGGAGTAGGGACCTAAAGCCCATTTGTAGGTAACTGGACATCCCCTTACAGAAGGGTCACGGGGAGAAGATGAGCCAGTCAGGGTGCAGTATAGCACTGATGAAACATACAATTTTTCTCGAGTTCCTTAATGCTTTATCCCCTCCCCCCCACTGGTACAGATAAGAACTGGAAATACAGGAAATCCAGGACAGATGAACCCCTCAGGACCAGTGGTGAGAGTGGCAATACCAGGAGGGTGAAGGGAAGGTGGGGTAGCAAGGGGGAACTGATCACAAGGATCTACATATAACTCCCTCCCTGGGGGATGGACAACAGAAAAGTGGGTGAAGGGAAACCTCAGACAGTGTAAGACATGACAAAATAATAATAATTTATAAATTATCAAGGTTCATGAGGGAGGGCCACAGGGAGGGAGGGGGAAAATGAGGAGCTGATACCAAGTAGAAAGAAAATGTTTTGAGAATGATGATGGCAACAAATGTACAAATGTGCTTGACACAATGGATACATGTTTGGATTGTGATAAGAGTTGTACGAGCCCCCAGTAAAATGATTTTTAAAAATAGTAAAATAAAGTTTTCGCCCTGAATTTTGTTGCGGTTGTTGTTAACAGACGCAAACCTACACATATCCGAGGACCCTGAATGTTGAGACCCATTTGTGCAATGCGATCGATTCAAGTTGAGTAGTGGTTCAGGGGACGCAGGGAACGTCAGGAGGAACGCGCTACAAGCCTGTGAACACAGAGTGGGCTGAAGAGAACCTCTGGTCTGTCTTCAACCTGGCCAACAGGTCGCTAGATTCGATCGACATGCTAGTTGATGATGCGCAACTTTTCTTTACATACATGAAAGCACACGAAGCCCCCCATGACACCCCGTTCCCCGTTATAGACTTCACTTCCATACATATTATCAGAGGCACAGGGGACCAAATTCTAGAGGACCCCAAGGAACTCCACATGAATGGACCCAGGGACAAAGAATTAGAAGGATTTGACTCGTTGGGATTAGTGGACGTGGGAATGGGTAACAATCTCGACAGACTAGCGTTCCAGAACATTCACCTATCTGATCCTTGTTGCAACAGAAGCTGGTACTATTGGATGGTCTACCTGCGAGCATCATTTTTGTCTGGAACATTTGCATTTTGCTTGGCTTGGGTTCCCTCCCTCACTGCCTTCACTGTGAATGAGCACTGATGGAAGGTGCTGGTGAGGCAGAAGGGTCACAGGACAGAGATGAGCCACTTCAAGTGCAGTGTAGCATCAATGAAACACACAACTGTCCTCGAGCTCCTCAATGCTTCCTCCCCCGCTATCATGACCTCAGGTCTACCTTACAAATCGGATTAGACCAGAACATGCCCACTGCTACAGATAGCGTGCGAAACACAGGAAGTCCAGGAGAGACAAACCCCTCAGGGCCAACAATGAGAGTAGAGATACCAGGACGATAAGGCAAAGGTGGGGGAGAAAGCGGGACTCCATCTTAAGATCAACCTATAACCCACTCCCAGGGGGATGAACAGCGGAAAAGTGGGCGAAGGGCAACAGAGGACGAGGTAAGATATAAAAGTAATAACCTATAACTTATCAAGGGTTCACGAGGGAGGGCGGGTGGGGGAGGGAGCGGAAAAATTTAGGAGCTCATATCAAGGGCTCAAGTAGAAAGAAAATGCTTTGAA